CGCCCCCGCCGCCCCCCGCCGCCCCCCGGTTGGTGCCGCCGCATTTTACGGGCCGCGCTCCGGCGGCCGCGGGGAGCCCCGGGGCGGGGAGGGGAAGCCGGGCGCGGCTGACGGGGCCGGAGGGGGTACGGGGGGTACCTGGGGATGCGGCGGGGGGCGGCGGTCTCGCCTCGACCCCCCCCGGCCCCGAGAAGGCGGTGGCGGGGCCGCGACCGGGGCCGCTCCGCGCCCGCGGCAGGGAAAAGTTGGAGGCGTCAAAGAGGGACCGGCGACACCGGGCCCGGCCCTCGGGGCACCGTGGTGGGGGTATCTGGCGGGCCGGGAGCGGGGGGGGGCGCGGGGGTCGTGCAGAGAAGCGGGAGAGGGGCGCGGGCGGCGGCCGCGGGGACCCCGGCGGTGGGGCCGGCGGGGGTCGGGCTGGGGCGGAATCGCCACACCCCGAGAGAGCCCCGGTGGCCCCGGGGTCGGGCAGCGGGGGCGGGGGGGGCGGGCGGCGGGGCCGCCGGTAACGCCTGGCTCTTTGCCCCCCGCTGCAGCCACCATGTTGACGCGACTTTTCAGCGAGCCCAGCCTGGTCCCCGAAGTCCCGAAATTCCCCGGTTGGGCCGAGGAGTGCGAGGAGGATGCCCGGAGCGAGAAGGAGGAGCGGGCGGGGAAGGGCTGCGCCCTCCCCGAGGAGCCGCCCGAGGGTTCGCTGGGAGAGAGCAAGGAGGAAGGGGAGCTAGGAGGGGACGAGGAGGAGGAGGAGGAGGAGGAGGAAGGCCTGGAGGAGGCGGAGGGCGAGCGGCCCAAGAAGCGCGGCCCCAAGAAGAGGAAGATGACGAAGGCGCGGCTGGAGCGGTCCAAGCTGCGGCGGCAGAAGGCGAACGCCCGGGAGAGGAACCGGATGCACGACCTGAACGCGGCCCTGGACAACCTGCGCAAAGTGGTGCCCTGCTACTCCAAAACGCAAAAACTCTCCAAAATCGAGACCCTCCGCTTGGCCAAGAACTACATCTGGGCTCTCTCCGAGATCCTGCGCTCGGGCAAGCGGCCCGACCTGGTCTCCTACGTGCAGACTCTGTGCAAGGGGCTGTCCCAGCCCACCACCAACCTGGTGGCCGGCTGCCTCCAGCTCAACTCCCGCAACTTCCTGACGGAGCAGGGCCAGGAGGGGGGTCGGTTCCACGGCCCCAACGCCGCCTCCTTCGCCGTGCACCCCTACCCTTACCCTTGCTCGCGGCTGGCCGCGGCGCCCTGCCCGCCCGCCGCCGGCCCCGGGCCGCACGGGCTGAGGACACACGGCTACTGCGCCTCCGCCTACGAGAGCCTCTACGGCAACACCTCCCCCGACTACAACAGCTCGGAGTACGACGGGGGGCTCAGCCCCCCGCTCTGCATCAACGGCAACTTCTCCCTCAAGCAGGACTCTTCATCCCCCGACCACGAGAAAAGCTACCACTACTCTATGCACTACTCGGCGCTGCCCGGCTCCCGCCCCGCCGCTCACAACCTGGTCTTCGGGTCGGCGGGGATGCGCGGGGGGGTCCACTCCGAGAACATCTTCCCCTACGACATGCACCTCCCGCACGAGCGGGGCCCCATGTACGAGGAGCTCAACGCCTTCTTCCACAACTGACCCCCTCCCCGAAACCCCCTCCCCATCGCCGAGATGGCGGGGAGGGGGGGGAGACTCCCCCACATCCCCCCCCCAACCCGCGGCGGCCCCGCGGACCGGCCCCCGGGGCTCCGCCGTGGGCTTTGGTGCAATATGGGGACCCGGCCCCAGCGGCGGGTCCCCGCGCCCCGTGGGGACAAAGTGCTTTTTTGGGAGGATTTTCCCTTTTCCTTAATTTTTTTATTCTTGTCGATTTCGTTATTTTTAAAATTTTCATTATTTATTGCCATTTCTTTATTATTTAATGCCATTTATTTAGTTATTTTATTATTACCGCTGTTATCGTTACTATTATTATAATACCTATTTATTATTATTATTATTGTTATTTTCTAGGGGGAGACGCCCCGCACGGGCCGACCCCCCCATCCACCCCACCGAAGCCCCCCCGGTACCCAGCACGACCCTCTGGGTCGAGACGCTTCGTTTCATTTTTAATTCGTTTTAATTAAATTTTATATATTCATTTTTAAATTTTTTTCCCCCACCTCCCACCCCAATTTTGGGCCGTTTCTCCCCTCCCCAGCCCTGACCCCGACCCCCCCGGACCCCCCCGGCATTGGACACCCGCTGCCCCGGCCCGTGGGAGCGAGAGGAGCCCGCGCTGCGGCGCGGAGCGAAACTTTCCGAAGCAATAAAGAGGCGCAGGGAGGAACGAACCCCAATTTCTATCTATGCAAGAGGCCCGGCCCGGCGGACGCTCCGAGATGCACTTTGCTTTGGGGGGGCCCCGGCCCCGCTCCCCGCCCCGGGAGCTCCTCGCAGCGCGTGTGTCAGGACGTTTTTTACCTGTTTTAAAAACTTGAAACGGAAAAAAAAAAAAAAAAAAAAAAAAAAAAAAAAAAAAAAAAAAAAAAAAAAAAAAAAAAAAAAAATAAAAAAAAAAAAAAAAAAAAAAAAAAAAAAAAAAAANAAAAGAAAAAAAAAAAGAAAAAAAAAAATGAAAAAAATAAAAAAAAAAAAAAAAAATAAAAGACCCCCCCCCGCAGAGCCGCCCCGGTTTTCCCGAGCTGGCGGAGCCGGGAAGCGCAGCCCGCAGCTATGCAAGCGGGGCTCCGGGGGGGCTGGCGGGGCTGCGCCCCCCCCGCGGCGCCCGGCCCGGGGGTCTCCGTCCCGGTTTGCCGCATTCCTTCAGCCGGGAGACGCCGGGAAGCCGATAATGCTTTTTTTTTTGTTGGGTTTTCTTTGGTTTTTGGGATTTTTTTTTGTCGGAACCTGCCCGCACCACCTTCGAGAAACCAGCATTTTTAGAGACCAGGGAGGAGGAGAGGAGGAAGATTTCTGAGAAATGTTTTGAAAACGAAAAAAAAAAAAAAAAAAAAGGAAAAAAAAAAAGAAAAATGGGGGGGGAAAAAGGAAAGAAAAAAAGTTTTGGGAAAAAAAACCAAAACGGAAAAAAAAACAAAAAAAAAAAAAAAAAGGGAAAAAGAAACAAAAACCCACAAACCGTTGTAGCAAAGGGGACCCGCTGCCCGACACCAGAAGTGCTTTCGTGTTTCCGTTCCGTTTCATTTCGATTAATAAATATTTATGGCCAACGATATGCAAGACCCCCCCGCGCCGGGCGCCGATCCCGCTCCCCGGTCCCGGTTCCCGGTCCCCGTCCCCGCCGCCCGGACCCTGCTCGGCGGCGGCGGAGCGCGGGGCGCGGGGCCGGGGGCCCGGCCGTTCTGCATGCACCGGCCCCCTCCCCTCCCTCCCGGGGCCGCCCCCCCCCGGCCCCGCTGGACGCTCGCCGCCCGGTCCCGGCCCCGCCAGGACTCGCCGGCCGTGACGAGCTGCCGCCGGTGCGATCGCGGCCAGGCTGTAATTACCGAGCGTCCTTCGACGGCGATTAATAAATATTCAATGTTGACTCCGCCGCTTTCGCCGCTTTCCTTCCGCCCCGGGGGCACCGGGGGCACCGGGCCGAGCCCCCCCTGCCGCCCCCGGCGGTGCCACCGCCGCTCCCGCCGCCCGAATGCGCGACCCGCGGGGCGGCGGCGCTGATATAACGCGGCTCTGCCCCACGGGTGTCCCCCCCGGGACCGGGGAGGCGGTGTCCCCCCCTCACCAATAAAGGCACCGGGATCCGGTGCGGCGGCCCGGCTCGGTCCACCGGCGGTCCCCTGGGAGCAGGGGCTCGGAGCTTGGTGCCCGGGGCTGGCACCGGGCCGCGGTCCCGGTGGCCTCGGGAAGGGCGCGCGGTGGCGGCAGCCAAGGCCGGTTCCTCGGCGGCGGCCCCGGGAAGCCGGTGGGCTCCCGGCGCCGTGCCCGGTGCTGGTACCGCTCCCCGGTGCTGCTTCCCGATGGAGCCTCGGCTCGGTGCCCGGTGCCAGTGCCGGTGCCAGTGCCGATGTTTGTGCCTGTTCCCGGCGCTGGCGCCCGTTGGAGCCCCGGAAGCTCCGGCGCCGGTTCAAGGAGCCGGTGCCCATGGGAGCTCCGGGACTCCCGATGCGGTTCCGGTGCCCGATGTCCGTTCTCGGTACCCGGTGCCAGCGCCGGTACCGCTGCCCGATGGAGCCCTGGCAGCGCGGCGCCGGTGCCCGGAGCGGAGCTGTCCGCTGCGGCGGTGCTGAACGGGCTCCGGGGCTTCTCAACGGCCGTCGGTTTATTTACCGACCGCACCACCGGGGCTCACCGTCACCCGACGGCCACCGGCACCTGGCAGCGTGGGGCACTGGCGGCCGGTTCTCCCCGGGATCATCGAGCGCCGGGGCCGCACGGGCTGCGGGGACGGAGCACCGGGTTCCTCCCGGGATTGGTGTCCGATGCCCGCGCCCCGCAGCCCCGCGGCTTCTGGGGATGAACCGGGCCGGTTTAGGGTCGGGCCGTGGCTGCAAAATGGGGCCGGGTCCAGCGCGGCCCCGACGTGCCGGGCCCGGTCCCAGAGCCGCCGGTGTCGGGCCCGAGCCGGGGAGCGGATCCGCCACGGCCCCGTGAGCCGCTGCAGCGACCTCCGAGCCCCCGGTCGGGCCCCGGCGCTCGCCGCTCTCCCCAGAGCAGCGGATCCTCTTCCGACGGCTCTGGCCCGAACATCCTCCCGGGACTCGTTTCTCCGGGGAAAAAGCCCCGGGAGGACCCGGGGACAACCGATGGGGCCGGACGGAGGCTCCGTGGGGCCGAGCTGTCGGTGTGCGGCCCTTCCATCGCCCTCCGCAGCCAGCGGCACCGGGGCCGCGGCCCGGAGAAGCGGCGGCCAAGGGCGGATGCCCCCGCGGAGGGGAGGAGGGGGACGCGGGGGCCGGGGGCTGCGGGGGGGCCGCCGACATCTGCTCCCGGGGCCGGCTATGCCAGGGGGTGCCGGCCCCGGTGGCAGGGCTGCGGTTCGTGTTCAATTGTCGGGATTTTTGTTTCCCCGGTGCCCGCCCGGCCCCGCCGAAGATGCGGGAAGCCGCCCGGCTGCTCCGGCAAGGCCCGGCCCCGCAATGCGGCCCCGCACTCGCTGCACGGCCCCGGTGTAAAGCTCCGGAGAACGGCTCCGGTGCAAAGCTCCGGTGGAAGGTTTTGGTGCACCGTCCCCGTGAATGGTTTCGTTGCAACGATCCTGTGCCCGGCCTCGGTACGAGGTTCCGGTGCCCGGTGCTGGTGCCAGGCTCCGAAACACAGCCGCGGTATAAGGCGCCGGTGCCCGGCCCTGTTCCCAGCTCCGGTGCCGGTGCCGGTGCCCAGCCCTTCCTCCCGGCGCTCTCGGGGAGGGAAACGGGAGGTCGGGGGAGCCGCCGCCCCGCCGGGCTCTGCGAGTGTTTGGTGCGACCGCGGGATCAAATCCACCTCGGGGGGTTTGGGGGGTCTGGGGAGCCGCCGGGACCCCCACGGCTGCCCGGGGGTCAGCGGAGCTCGGCCAGCACCGAGGGGACCTGGCGATGGCGGCTCGCCCGGACGCGGCCCCGCTATTCCAAAGCAGGATGAGATGGGGGTGGGTGTCTCCCCCCCTCAGCACCCCCCGGTGCCCGCGGTGCCCCCGGTACCCCCGGCCCGGCCCCTCTCCCGGCCCGGCGGAGCGCGGCGGGGGCGCGGGGCGAGCGCCAGCTCCGGGTCGCCGCTGCCACCGGCGAGTGCCAGCCGGGGGGGGGGAGGAGGAGTCATTGCTTCAGTTTAAATTTCATGGCATCTGTTCATTATTATACAGTGCGGATTTTTATATGGACAGCTAAATTAAAGACAGATTTCTGCCAAAATTGCAGATACCATAAAAAACCGGAGGCTCCCAGCGCCCGGCGCTCGCCGCGCTGCGGAGGCGGCCCCGCTCCGGGGGCCGGGGGCTGCCCGGGGGTCGGGAGGGATGTGGGGGACAGGGAGGGATGTGGGGGGTCAGGATCATGCAAGATGGAGGGCTGGAGAAGTCCTGGGATGGTCTGGGCAGCCCCCCCCGGGGGAGAAGGATAACGCAGTCGGGGGGGGAAGGGTGGGGGGGGGGGGGGGGGAGGGGGGGGGGGGGGGGGGGGGGGCTGTCCCCGATTTTGTGCCATGGGGAGCCCAGGACGTCGCCCCCCGGGAGGAGCCGGGGGTCCCGGCGGTCCCCGGAGCCGCGGCCGGGGCGGGCCGGGCTGGCAACGATCCCCGCCGCCCCGGGGGCTGCAGAGCCGCCCCCTCCCCCGCCCGGTCTGCCAGGCTCCATCGCAGAGGAGTTAAAACAAGGACATCTGTGCCTGGAATCGCTGCGAAGCTCCGAACCTGCCAGCGCCTGCTGGCACCGGCCGCCGGCGGAGGCGGCTTCTCCGGAATGCGGCACCGCCGGCAGCTCCGCCCGGAGCCCCGGCCGGGCCCCGAGGGCTGCGGGGCCAGGAGAGCCTTGGCCCGGCTGGGCAGCGTCCCCACCCTCATCATGTTGCAGCCCTGAGGGGGTCGTGTTTCCCACCCCCATTCACCCCCTGCCCCACTGAGCCCCACAGTGCGTACGGGGTGGAGTGGGAGACAGAGAGGGGATGAGGAGAGGACCCTGCCCTCCGCTGGGGCCACGGGCAGAGCTGGGAGGGCAG